TAGATATATATACATATATAAGAGACATTTTACTTGCCGTAAGATAATGTTGTCTAGCCAACCCTGAGATTTACACAACCCTATCCAGCAGCGGACCTCACTTTTCAATACTGCAATTAAGCAAAGCAGCTAGGTCACCTCCCCACATCCAGCCTGTGACTGGATGATGAAAGTTGCAACAGCAGATTAATGAGATTATCCCTCTACTTTCTCCTTCTGCCAGCATGTTCCTTGTTAGTATATGTATGCGCAGCAGAGCTTAATTGGCTCTGAATAGTGACCTTCCCTCTCCCAGTCTGAGTTATCCTGTACAGGAGGCTGATATCAAGACTAAGTTAGGTGCGTACATTAGTTGTATTTAAAAAAAATTAAAATTATATATACAGTATACACACACACATATATATATTTAGCTGTTTATTTGTGAATAGACCCCTTAAGTGTCACATAATCACAGGAGACGTTTCGGAAACCGCATGGTTCCTTCCTCAGGCAAAACCTACTACCAGACACACCGGAAATCACATCAAGTTTGGTAACCTATAACTCTTTAAGCTAGCAATCTCCAGCTTTCACCACAATGGCACAATGGCAGATCTCAGCAGGACCAGCAAATTTTTGATATACTAGGTCTTGCAAATGTGTTCTCTTTAACCAGCAAAATCATATGAGCTGTGAAATAGAGAACCTGCCATTGTTCTCCTAAACCAGACTGTGAATTGGGATTCTTTTTAATAATTCAAACCAAAAATAAAATGAGAAATAATAAAATAAATGTATCACACAACATTCTTGGGAATAAAAAGTACGTCCATCCAAAATGTTACCAATTTCCCCAAGCAACTTTTTGTCCATTATCCAGTTTGTAATAACAATCTGACCTTTGAGAAAGCCTTTGTATATCTGACAAGAACACTGAAAAGATCAAGAGTAGGCATGTGTACACTAGACGGTCTTTATGACAAAATGTAAATTAGTAGGATGATTGGGGAATCATGAATGTTATATAGAGTGTAAAACCCAATGAAGAGCAGACCAGACCAAAATTTTAGAGGATCGGTAACCAAGTGGAATTCAGAATAGACCAACATAATATGACATTAGTCTTGAGAAAGACATAAAATGCACGTTATCTGTTTCCTTTAATTCTTCTAATGTGACGTGTGATAATATATTGTAGAATTGGTTGCTGATTCATCTTAAAAAATATATCCTTTTGAAAATAAATGTTTTCTTAATTGCAGGTCCTTGTTGTAGATGAGTATTTTTATATCCTCTCCTGCGATGCCCGATAACAAGTCCTCCATAGATTGGACTCTCTGAAGACCAGCCTTTGATTGCTAACAATTATTTACAACATATCATTCCCAAATCTCAGCTACAATTATTAATATTGTACTGTACATCCTCAACTGACTGCCCTTAACATTCATATATTGTACACAGTGTGCTGAGATGACACAATGAAGCAAATGAGGCCTATTGGGACAGAAATACACGAATTGCTATGAAAGGATTGCTTACCGCACAAAATAAGAATTGTAATGAAGTAATTGAAAATGTTAATAGGTGGACATGGATCCCTCATGCTGTGATGACCGTTCACTGAAATCTCATATAAACTTTAACTAGTTAATGTCTTTGAAAAACTAATTTTCATTATTTTTAAATATGTAATAGTTGGTGATCCTGCAGTAAATAAAGCCTGTACAGGTACTTCCTGTTACAGGGTGACAACGCTCTTTCCCTGTCTCCCAAATGTGCTTCTTCATTGTCACCATGTCACATGGGCTTTAATTGAGCCTACAAGTGGTTGTTTTAACACACATTACATAGACATGGTTCACTGTTGTCACCATCGGAAACCCTGCACTAAGAAATGCCATGCAGAAGTTGCTGGAGTGCAGGTAGCCAGGAGGTGGCTGTAAACATGCCGCAGGTGATCGCCAGTACTGAGCTGCAGGGTTCTATTTTAGCAACATACATGTTTGGGATGTGGTGGGTTGCCCCAGTCAGTTGATCCATATGCATATTTACTATTGTTCTGTGGGCTAGTTCATATGATGAAAATGTTTCTTGTTATCAGATGATCTAAGTCACCTATGTTTTTTTGGCACATAGCCCTTTGTTGGTTAAAGGGTAGTTATAAAGGTTTTAGGTCATTTGGGTTGTTTTACAAATAAACACATAGGTGGGCCTGAACTCTTCTTATAGGTAACATCTAGCAGTAGTAGAGTATAGTACCATGTTAGCTGTTGATTAATGCCAAAAGTTTGAGGTTTAAGTGATACTCATTATTGGTGTTACAGTACCTACAGGATCCACGTCTTCCCATACGTACATCCAGAGTCATGACCAGGGGTGGACTGACAACACATGGGGCCCCCGGGCAATACAATATTATGGGGCCCCCTTGTGCCCCACCCATATACAAGCACCATCCACAAGCCCCATCCACAGACAAAGGCCTGCTGTACGGGCTATTCTCAATAGCCCGTACAGAAGCCGAAGGCAGCTGAGCGGCTCAGCCAAGCCGAACCCATAGGCTTCAGCTTGGCTGAGTCGTATTCAGAGCCGAAGCCGACCGATCTCCACGCAGATGACAGCTGGGCGAAGCCAGCCGGGATCTCATGGCTGGCTCCGTCCAGTTGAAATAACAGATCAGCATCCCCAAATGATCTAGGGATGCTGATCTGTCATTAAACAACAACAACTGGGCGGAGCCGCTCGTGCCATCACAGCCGACTCCACCCAGTTGTTATTTATTGGCCGGGACCTACTAGGAGACTCTGGCAGGTGCCGGCTAATAGGAAACAGGAAGTGCGTTGTTTTTTATTTAAAATATTTGTAAATTTTTTTACATTTTTTTACAATTTTACAAAGAAAAAATGTTTCTCATTCATTTAACTTTTTTTCTATTCTGCTCGTTACCACGGAGGTACCGAGCAGAATAGCCAAGCCGAATGCCACTCGCGGCATTTGGCTTTTTACTTACTGCTGTTCAGCCCCTATGAGAAAAGGGGCGAACGGTAGTGAGTGAGCTGTCGGAGCTTCGGCTCAGCCGATCCAGATGTTGGATCGGCTAAGTCGAACTCCTTCTGCACTTCGGCTCAGCCGATGTACGGCTGATTTTAGCCGAGGTACAGCTGAAATCAGCCCTAGAAGGCTGAAGTGAATAGCCGAACAGCGTTCAGTTCACTTCACTTTGGCGGAGTTATTCACTCGAATAGCCCCCATAGCGTTTGAATTTCCATGCGGAAGACCGCACGGGACGCAAAAGCTATATGTGAAACAACTGCATGGATTCCGCTCGTTTGCAGTTAGTATATAGCCGCGAACGTACAGAATCCGCTGGATTATCGCACTTGCACTGTTTTGGGGGCCGTGCAGTTTCGTACTGCGCGGTCCAGCAACTAATAGTCTGGACAAAGCACATAAAAGTGCATTGTTTTTTCTGTTTAGAGCGGCTCCGCTCATATGAGGACAGCCGCTCCAGTGTGAATGGAGCTTTAACCCTCGCAACCCCCCAAATACTGCAAGCGCGATAATCCATCAGAGTCCGCATGTTTGCGGCTATATAATGGCCGCAAACAAGCGGAATCCGTGCAGTTCACATATAGCATTTGCGTCTCGTGCGGTCTCCCACATGAAAAACCGCACGGGAAACGCAAACGCTGTATGTAAATGGAGACAAAAAGGTTAAAATCTTCCCATTTACAGCTCATAAAAAAAAAGTATGGAAGGCCACTGCTCATTGATGCAGGTGGGGAGCAAAGGCTGGCCCGTGTAGTCCAATCCGATAGAAGAGCTACTGTATCTCAAATTGCTGAAAAAGTTAATGCTGTTCTGGTAGAAAGGTGTCTGAACACACAGTACATCACAGTTTGTTGCCTATGGCGCTGCATACACTAAGACTGGTCAGGGTGTCTTTGGTGACCTGTGTCCACCACCAAAAGCATCTACAATGAACATGTGAGCATCAAAGCTGGACCAAGAAGCAATGGATGGCCAGGTGTATATGTGTCACTTACCTGGGCAAGCGATGGCACCAGGATGCACTATGGGACGAAGACAAGCTGGTGGAGGCAATGTGATGCTTTGGGCAATGTTCTGCAGGGAAACCTCGGGTCCTGCCATTCATGTGGATGTTACTTTGACATGAACCACCGACCTAAACATTGTTGCTGACCAAGTACACCCCTTCATGGAAATGTTATTTCCTGATGGCAGTGGCCTCTTGCAGCAGGATAATGCCTCCTGCCATACTGCAAAAATGGTTCAAGAATGGTGTTTGAGGTGTTGACTTTTCCTCCAAATTTTGCAGATCTCAATCCAATCGAGTATCTGTGGGATGTCCTGAAAAAACAAGTCCGATCCATGGAGGCCGATCACCTCACAACTTACAGGACTTTAAGCATCTGCTACTGATAGCTTGGTGCCAGATACCACAACATTTCTGACCATTCCTCGACTGGTCAGAAAATGGAGGGCCTACTCAATATTAGGCAGGTGGTCAATCCTATGGCTGATCGGTGTATGTCATTCCTCCTCAAATGCAGCTTTATTGTCAATCACATCCAGGATCATCCAATATCCTTATGTATACTCCTTTTTTGACAGTAGACAAGGACATTTTGTGTTGATACAATGTTACTACAAAGACATGCATATACCAGGGGTAACCCCTTTGCAGGGGAAATTCTGTTCCAAGGGACCCCTGCAGTCACCTGCATAGTACTGCTGCATGTCTCTCTCAAACCAAGCTGGATGAAAGTAATGCATTGCCACAACACAGCCATGCAAGTAATTCCGAGAAGTGGTGTTTACCTCAGTAGAATCAGCAATAATAAATACCCCCTTCATTGGTATCAATACATTGATGTCAGTGGCAGCAATAACGAGGATTGCCGCCCATCATTGGTGTCAGCAATAATTTAACCTCCCCTTCCTCGGTGTTCAGTGGTAACTTACCTAAACACTCCAGCACAGATTCTTCCCTTCTTTCCCAGCACAAACTACACTCTGTCTATCATGCAGGAGATCACTCTGCCCAACAGGCAGTGCTACCATCATTCAAGTGCTGGGTGCTGGAATGCATTATCTCCACTTGGGACCTTGCAGGCTGCAAAAGAATGCTCTGCAGGTCGGCAGGTGGTCAGCACTGTTCTATTCGCTTAACTGACAATAGTTAGGGTGTTGGACATCAGGCTATTTGGCTATTGGCTTGGTTGAATATGTCAAAAAGACAAGTTGACCTTTGTGTTTTTATATGTATATTTTGTCCATGTCATGGTCTGTGTTTGTACAGGTTAGAAGCATCTTCATGGTATTAGGATTTTTGTGCCAAGAATTAGACCACAAAGACATCAGTTGCATATTAGTTGCAGAAATTTCCAGTTCAAAAAAATTCCCTTCTGTGTCCAACCCTTCCTGCTGGAAGCTGCAGTCCATGGATTCACTTACATTACTACCTGAAGATGAAGATAATTAACTTCTGCTTCCAGTAACAATAGAATTTATACATCTTTAGCACAAAATGTATATTTTTTATTTGCAATAATATGACTTAAGAAAAACCCTGCGGTTTATTTTATGTATTTTTGTTATCGATTCCATAAACAATAAATGCAAAACAGTATTGCCAAAAGAAAGCCTATTCCCCCGCAACAATGCATAATTTACTTTGCTATCTCTAGTAATAAAAACATTGTGGCCAAATAAACAGGTCTATAGTGGGAATGTAAAAATTGCTCTGGTGAATCACTAGATATAAGACAAATCAACAAAGTCCATGCCCATATTACTGTTTTTTTTTTTTGCCTTATAAATTGCCTTACCTATTGGCCAACTTCTCCTCATACAATGGTTTTAAAATACTTGAGTTTTCGGCGTAAAGCTGACTCGACCTCTTTATTTTTCAAGCTGTAAATGAAAGGATTTAACATGGGAACCAAAGCGGTGTTAAGCAAAGACAACAGTTTACTGAAGATTAAAGTGCCACTTGGTATCAAATATTGGCAAACAATGGTTGTATAGTGAAGAACAACGACTGTTATGTGAGAGGAACATGTGTAAAAAGCTTTAGATCTCCCCGTCGTAGACTTAATTTTCATTATGGTGTCAATTATAAATGAATAGGAGATGAAGGTGAGCAGAAAAGGGGTGAAGGTTGACAGTAAAGTTCCCTCTGTGTAGATCAACAGTTCCAAAATGGAGGTGTCACTGCAGGTAAGGTTCATCAGGGCTACCATGTCACAGAAGAAGTGGTTAATTGTGTTCGAAGTGTAGCAAGAGAATCTGGATACTATGACCATGGCAGGAATCATCTGTAAAAGACTAAATGACCAGCAGAATATGGCCAGACCAGCACAGACTCTCTCACTCATGACAGTTGGATAATGCAATGGGTTGCAGATGGCGACGTACCGATCGTAGCTCATGGCGGTAAGCAATATAAACTCGTTGCCTGATAACCATGAGAACATACATACCTGTGCCATGCAGCCATTAAAAGACACAACATTGTCCCTTGTTACAAATATATAGAGGATCTTATGTAGGGTAACTGTCGTAGTTGAAATGTTGAGAACGGACAGATTGCACAAGAAGAAGTACATGGGGGTGTGGAGCTTAGAATCCAGGCAAACCAGCAGAAGAATGATCAAATTACCACCAAGAGTAACATTATAAATGAGGAGGACCAGGAAGAAGATCAGAACCTGCAGTATGGGGACATCTGATATCCCTTTAAGAATGAAATAGATGACTGTTGTTTCATTGTCCTTATTCATATTTTACTCAGTAGGCCAGAAGGGAGCAAACCTAAATGACTAGCAATTTTACTAAATTAGCTTTGGCAGTGAATTTATTTCATAAAGGGAATTTTTGCTTTAGTTGTTGAATAGAATTTATCTTATGAAGGGAATTTTTGCTTATGTGCTAGAATCAGGTTACCTTGGCAGAGCAGGGTCAGCCCCAGATACAAGTTACTGCACAAGTGATGCCATTTGTGGAGCGTCTCTGTTGCTGCTGGATCAATGGAGTTGTTCAAGCTCTATAGGATTAGTGGAAAGTAGCGTCCATCTTCGTTTTATATATTTAATACTGACACTGCAACAGTTTTTCTGCTGCAAATGCAACAAAATAGTAAAAACATGTGACTTTTTTGATGAATTCTATGAAGCAAAACTCAAATCCTGTCTTTGTTATATCAATACCATAGTACCAGACACAAGGTACAGAACAAGTCCGGCAAATACTTATCCTAAAAGTGTAAAATAAGTTAACAGTTAGCAACCTTCAGCTTCTTTCACATTATTATTATTATACAGGATTTATATAGCGCCAACAGTTTGAGCAGCGCTTTACAATATAAGGAAGACATTACAATCACAATACAATTCAAGACAGGATGGTAAGGAGGGCCCCGCCCCTGAGGGCTTACAATCTAAAAGGGTGGGGGAGGGGATACATGAGGAGGGAGCTGTGCGGGGATGAATTGTTTGAGAATGTGATTGTTGAGTGGTTAGGTTGAGGTGGGATAGGCTTCCCTGAAGAGGTGAGTCTTCAGGGTACACCTAAAGGCGGTCAAGGTGGGAGATAGACGGACAGGTTGGGGTAAAGAGTTCCAGAGGATGGGAGAGACTCTAGAGAAGTCCTGGAGGCGAGCATGGGTGGAGTTGATGAGGGAGCTAGAAAGCAGGAAGTCTTTTGAAGAGCGGAAGGGACGGTTAGGGTGATACTTTGAGACAAGGTTTGAGATATAGCCGGGGTCAGAGTTGTGGATGGCTTTGTAAGCGATTGTTAATATTTTGAATTTTATCCTTTGGGCTATTGGAAGCCAGTGTAGGGATTGGCAGAGGGGGGATGCAGACACTGAACGGTTGGTTAGGTGAATGAGTCTGGCAGCTGCATGCATGATAGACTGAAGGGGGGATAGTCTGTGTAGTGGAAGGCCAATGAGGAGGGAGTTGCAATAGACAAGACGAGAGATAACAAGGGAGTGGATGAGTAATTTTGCGGTTTCCTTGGTGAGGAAGGGGCGTATTTTGGAGATGTTACGAAGGTGAAGGCGGCAGGATTTGGATAGTGATTGGATGTGGGGAAGAAAGGTGAGGTCCGAGTCAAGGATGACACCTAGGACCTTGGCATGGGAGGAGGGTTGGATAGTTGTGTTAACAATCTCAAGAGAAAAGTTGGGGCAAGGTGCATGGACGGGAGGAAATATCATGAGCTCAGTTTTTGAAAGGTTGAGTTTTAAGAAGTGTTGCGACATCCAGACAGATATATCAGTTAGTAGATAAGTGACACGAGAGGACACTGAGGGGGAGAGTTGTGGAGTAGAAAGATAGATTTGAGTGTCATCAGCATAGAGATGGTATTGGAAGCCATGTAAGGTTTTTAGTTGACCAAGTGAGGAGGTGTAGATAGAGAAGAGAAGGGGTCCAAGGACCGAGCCTTGGGGGACCCCTACAGAAAGAGGAAGAGGAGGGGAGGTGTTAGAGTTGTAGGTGACGCTAAAGGAGCGCTTAGACAGGTAAGAGGAGAACCATGAGGGAGCAGAGTCTTGTAGCCCAACATTCATTAAGGTGACAGATTCTACAAGGGTGACATCATACCTTTTGTAAAATAGTATATCAGGTCAGGTGCAGGCTTGAAACTGTCCAATTTTCATTGAAAGCATTGCAAAGTTTTTATGATAAAACATAAATAAAATGTATTTCAGTGCGGTGCGTAGAAAACATGAAATATCAGACGACAAAAAGGAACCTGATAAAGAGGACTCTTATTATCAGGTTCAGTTGCTTAAGAAAACCTATACATCAGGTTTTAGTTCCCTGGGATTTTAATTGTCTGTACAATATACCCGTGCTGTGGAGTGGTGGCAGCTTTGCCTTTTAACAGGTTCTTGCCGTAGGTGAGCGTCTTATTATCTCCTGAAAGCCTGTAAACAACTCCTCAATTAACGGAATTCTCTGAAGACCAGCCTTCGATTGCTTGCAATTATTTACGTAATTCCCAAATACACCATTTGTGTTGCAGACTCTAAACCACCTGTAGTGCTGATTACTGTACAATGTACAATGAACTGAGATTATTATTATTATTATACAGGATTTATATAGCGCCAACAATTTGCTCAGCGCTGAGATGACGCAGTGTAGTGATGGTGATGATGGTGATGATGGGCCATCGGAGCATGGATGGTTATCAAATAATTTACTCGCTACCGCCCAGTGTGAGAAGTCAACTTGAGCAGTTTATGTGACCATCGTGGTTTTCGCAAAGCTAAAGGCCTAAAGTCAATAACAATTTGGCCTGTACAAAATAGAAACAATGCAATTATTTAGAATCTAAGATTTGGTATGAATGAATTCAAATAGCAATATAGCAAAATGAAGCCACTTATCACCTTAAAAAAAAACAAAAACCTTATCACCTTATTCAATTAATATTATTATTATTACTATACAGGATTTATATAGTGCCAACAGTTTGCGCAGCGCTTTAGAATATAAGGAAGACATTACAATCACAATACAATTCAAGACAAGATGGTATGGAGGGCCCTGCCCCTGAGGGATTACAATCTAAAATGGAGGGGCCAGTGATACATGAGGAGGTAGCTGTGTGGAGAGGAATTGTATGAGAACGTGATGGTTGAGTGGTTAGGTTGAGGTGGGATAGGCTTCCCTGAAGAGATGGGACTTTAGGGATCTCCTAAAGGCAGTCAGAGTGGGAGATAGATGGACAGGTTGGGGTAAAGAGTTCCAGAGGATGGGAGATACTCTAGAGTAGACCTGGAGGCGAGCATGGGATGAGTTGACAAGGGAGCTGGAAAGCAGGAGGTCTTTGGAAGAGCTGAGGGGATGGTTAGGGTGATATTTTGAGACGAGGTTGGAGATATATCCGGGGGCGGAGTTGTGGATGGCTTTGTAAGTGGTTGTTAATATTTTGAATGTTATCTTTTAGGTGATTGGAAGCCATTGCAGGGATTGGCAGATAATATCACAGATAAAAGCATAAAAACATTTCCATGCCACAATCAGAAAATTATTACTTAAAAATATGACCGCAATATTTAGACAGGTATCCATATAAAAGGGGCAGCATGTCCTCTCCAAACACATGCACACGTTGCTGCACCTGCAAACTGTCCACAGCTCTCACACAACACAATATCAGGAATCCACCTGCAGATTTCCAAAGTTCATATTGTTCATATCTCTAATACCGTATTTGCCGGCGTATAAGACGACTCGGCGTATAAAACGACCCCCTACTTTTTGTGTTAAAATATAGATTTTGGGCTATACTCGTCGTATAAGACGAGTATAGCCCAAAATAATGTTTAAATGCACCCACTAACCTCCATGGCGGTATTCCTGAGTGTGGCTCGGGGTTAATTTTTAGTACCATAAGCGGTAACCCCGAGCCACACTCAGGATTACAGTCTCTTACATTGTCCACGATCCCCGCTGTGTCAAGTACCCGGCGTATAAGACGACCCCCAATTTTTGGGGGATGTTTTAAGGTTTCAAAACCCGTCTTATACGCCGGCAAATACGGTAGTCGTATTTATTTATTGTTATCGGTTTAGTAATATGAAATGCGGCTGCCAACAATAGGTGATCTTGGTATATTGTAACTGAAAGGTGTATTGTGTCCTGCACTAACAATGCTTAGAATGTTTAAAATGATTTTTAAGAGACAGTGGACCTATTCACAATGTTCTGATTTAGTGGTGTTTTGTGCTGCATTGTCTCCATTCGTTGGACTTTTTAGATCTAATTGACATGTAAACTTGTTGGCGTGTTTAGATGAAGCACTGAGACCTTGGGGAATGCTTAATTAAATTTAACTTGCTTATAAGAACATTACATCTGTGTATACTGCATCATGCAGGAAACATATACATTAGATCATAGATACACATGCATATAGAAAAACTAGCATAGACTAACATTGCACCACAGCGCCATCTAGTGCTCAAAAGACAATATTACATCTCTGAATGTCGCTAATACAATCAGTACATATCAGCATAGGCTGTTGTATTTCCAACATAACTAAACCAATAGATGAGCAATGTGTACATAGCAAGAAGCACACCTCTGAACTAAATGTTAACACTGTGAATGTATCCAATCTCAATGTGCCCATCAACAATCATTTATTGATACTAATGAAGAAGTATTTGGTTTTAGTATATGGCATGTGCCCAACTATAACTTCCTTTAAAGTGACAATAAACTCAGCCATTAAACCATAAAAATACATTCAAGTACCTCAACTAGTAACAACAATGTATCTTATTTGTGTATCACTCGGCTGTAGATCCTCCAATCATCTCTGAATTGGTGCTGACACTGTCCTTCCTTCTGGGGGGGGCTACGTTTGTTCCCTATGGTCCCTGTGTGTGTTGTAAAGTAGTCACTGCTCCAAGCTCGCTCCCGGCATGGACTACAATCTCAATACAAATTAGTAAACTAAACATGAGATTGCAATTTAGTTGCAATTATCTTTAATCTTTACTTAGTCTACGGTCTCTAGGTTGTATTTCCAGTGTAATACAACCTAGTAACACACAGTGAAGTTAATTTACGAAAGGCATATAGGCTGTTCACTTTGCAAGGGAATTTTCACCTACTGTAAGGGCAAAATGGCGGCTGCGCATGCGCGCTAGCCAGATATCCATGTGGCCGGAAAACGTGCCATTGCGCGCATGTGCGCGCAAACCGGAAGTGTGCGGAAACACGTGCAACGGCCATCGCACAGGAAGTGATGCTGT